CCACACAGTGACGTAGACATGTGGGGGCGTGTTAGAATGAGCCGTTTTAGGTAGGCGTGGTTGACTCAACTTTTATAAAGAATATCTCTTTGGATTTGAGACTTTAGTCTTTGCAACTTTACAGATCTTCTTTATGCACCAAGAGCTTGTAACACTCCAAAGAATACATTTGAAATTTGAAATTGAAATCGCATCATATGACCCCTTTAAATCCACTTATTCATTCTGAAATATCAATAAGTTATTTTTTACTGTTCATTCAAATCAGCAAAGATTACACTGTAAAAAGTTAAAAAATAAATTATTTTTTAATCATTGTTTACAATTATATTCAATGTCCTTCTGCTTCCTGAAGTTAATGGCTAATCCACCAGGAGACAGAAGACATGTAGATTATCTACAAATGATGTTGGGGATGTGTACCTGTGCTTGTGCCCTGCAGGGTGGGGAGTTTTGATGGTAAGTGCCTGGAATGGGCAAATCCTCATTACTGGTCTGCCTTCTCAAACACTGGATGTTAAAGTTGGGCTTTCGGCCTGTCAGATACAGGAAAAAACAAACAATGTGAGCTGAACATGTTGCAGCTGAACACAGTGCAGAAATATAATACTGTAGTTGGTTTTACCTAAGGGAGTCGGGGGAAGCATGCGTCGCCTTGCAGAGAAACCATTGCCATTGTATTCATTACCATTGTATCCATTACTATGGTATCCATTACCACTGTATCCATTGCTGCTGTAGCCGTTGCTGGAATAACGGTTGCCTGGATAACCAGTCCCATTGGTAACATTGGCATTGTAGCCATTTCCAGGGTAGACATGACCTTGGTAGCCACCAGCATCTTGGATGTTGCCTTGGTAAGTGGTGTTGTTAATGTTATTGGGCTGAACTGGCGCCACACTTTCACTGCTCCCATTAAGTGCTGGTGTTTGTGCTGGAGGAACCTCAGGAAACCACAGTCTGTTCAAACATCAACACAAACAAAGACACATATATTCATTTGTGAGCAAAGTTTGTAAAATATGAGAAGGTCCCTTCTGTTTGAGTCATGTGAATGTCCCAATATACTCACAGGGAAGTTCTTTTTTGTTCTTCGTTTAGGGTAATGAGAAAATTGAAATACCTTTGCAGTGGTTTTACTATTAGCAAACATCCTGACACTGTCCACATTTGTTGAGAGCAGCGTTTAGATGAATATGTAAATATGTGTTGCGCGCTTTCCTCTCAATAACAATATAAACACACAACAAAATGACAGCAGTGAGAAAACAGCAGTTAAGAAAGCATCTGATCATAGTGATGTGAATGTTTGCACAAGCTCTGCAATTTGGCACTCCAGTAAAGTTACATCATGTTAATTTATATAGAACTTATATGGTAGATTGCTTTAAAGCAAGCAGCTTTACAGTATTAAACATGATAAAACAGTGTCAGTGTTGTTTTCAATTAGAATTGTTCTATTATAAAGCAGCTCTCGGATGCGTTCCTGTTTTAACATGCATCTAACCTCGAGGGACTGGACTGCACATAAGAAATGAACCAATGAAGATTTCCATGTTAAAGATGGCGGAGCTTCAGAGCCACACCCACGTGTTACATAATCACCACTGACCAATGGTAGTTTGAGGGTGTTTACCAGCCAGAGCAAACTTTTCTAGAAAGTTCACTTTGACAAGCTGTTTTGAACTCCCGAAACAAACTCCTAATGAACTTCATTTTGGCCCGATTTTGTTTGAAATGACATCACACCAGTTTGTTCTTTGTTGTAATTTATTGAAAAAAGTATTTTTTAATAAATTTTTTTCCCGGAAAATCTGCTTTGGCAAACCGTTTCAAAACTCTCAAAACAAACTCCGTTTTGGTCTGATTTTGTTTTCAAAATCATTCTTTGATTTTGCTTGAAGTATATCAGTGCCTTGACAGCATAGATATAGGTAGATGCCACATTCAACCGCTCCAGACATGTCGACATGTCGACTTAGAACGATTAATGTGTCATCACTCACAGTGAAAATCATTTGCTGCATCTCAATTCGCATACTATCCATCCAAAATAATATTTGAAATTAGAATTAGTGTGTTCCAAATCGTAGTATGTTGAAATGAATATCCCAAAGGTACCCGGATGGTTTACTGTTTCCGGTAGAAATTTCCAGTGCACTCTCTAACAGCTAATATTGCCCACAAACCATTGCTTGTTGGACGAGGATTCGATTAGAACTACAAACAACTACAAACATGCATAAAAAGTGTAAAAAAAGAACTACAAACATGGTGGATATGCAAGAACGATGGACAGGTAGAGAAAGGGTAGAGTCTGATGAAAAAATATTTATTTAATGTTATCCACGTTACATTTCATCTGTAACAACAATGTGACAAGCTATCACAGGTGACAATGTGTTGGTTTTTGTTTTTATATGTATTTGTATGTAACATCTTTGTCTTCTTGTCCTGTGTTAGTTTAGCAAAATCATCTGCTGAAGTCTATTGCAGATACAGATATTTATTATACATGCATATAACTATGGTTGTAGACACAGTCAACTTGCTCTCGAGTGTTCACGGACCGGCTTTGACTATTCCAATTTGGCAGACGAATTCTGTACAAAGGCCCATAGAAAAGGCCGCTAATGATGCATCTACGTATATATATCAATGCATGACAGTGCTTGTTTTGGTGCATTATGGGTAGTCAAACATGTTGTACTCACCTATCATTTGAGACAGCCTTCTGAGGCTCCCCCTGGCTGACACTGCCTTGCTCTGTAGGATATGTCATCTCTGTGACTCCTCCTCCTGCTACTACTCCTCCATGTCCTCCTGGAGTGATGACTCCTCCTGTGGTTTCATTTTGCAATCCTCCATCCGGGGATGGGGAAGGAATATAGTCACAAGCTCTGGTTGTGTCAGCCCTGAATATAAAAAATACATTAAGATGATATACTAAAAATCTTTGAAAGCTTGAGGTTGTTCTGTCAACTTGTGGACTTTCCTTGAAGTTCTTCAAATGCCTTTTGAAAATTATGAGTTGACAAACAACTGAGAGAACATTCCTGTCACCTGCATTTCTTCATGCTAACTGCAATAAGCCAAGGCTGCAACAGCTGATAATGCTCCACAATGATAGTGTACTTTCCAGGTGTTTAAAAGTACTGGAAGTCAAAGTTTCCTTATAAGACAAGAAGATGCAAAAAAAAAAACTGACAGTATGTTACAGTGTACCACCTAAAAGCCTATTCACACGGAGCATTAATTTTCACCCCATATTAAAAAAAAAAAGGAAACATGTTTCCATGGCACACTAGCAGGTGCAGACTTAGTGATTTGGGGGCCCTGAGCAAATTCCAGGTATGGGGCCCCAACACAATAATTGTACATTTTTCAATCTTTTTACAAACATGAAATTATCCCATGCAACTCATTCCATAGTCCAAGTGTTCTGAAGGCATACGGTAGAGTTTGCCGAGAAACAAATAAAAAATGTAATATATTATTAATCAAAAATCTCCAGTCATTGCATTCGTGCATTTATACGTGCATTTTTCTTTTAAAAAAAGAAACTTTTTCGTTCTTTTAAAAACTCTCTACACTGCACAGTTAATCTCTTATTTACATCGTATCTACACTTTGTTATAATGAGAGAATTCCCAAGCTTGCAGAACTCCGCAAATTCGGCATTTTGAGCGGTGAGTGGATTCTAACTTAAGCACTTCTGGTCATTGCGTTCAAGAAATTAAAAGATATGTCTGTGATTGTCTACATTGTTCAACGCTGCAAATATGTTTCTGCAATATCAGATGGGGCCCCCTGATTCCCCGGGGCCCTAAGCGGCCGCTTATCTCGCTTATTGGTTAAGTCCGCCCCTGCACACTATAGATTCAGAGCTCAGACTCTGTATTAAAGGGAACATAAAAAAGCCACTGGCTGTCAGCAAAGTTAAAAAAAGACAAATTATTGACAAATTGGGTGTGTTTTACTTCTGTTATGCCATCCTACGAGAATGAACACATATCAGTTTTATTGTCACTTTGCTGCTTTGCTCTTGGTGTGAATAGGCCTTAAAGGGACAGTTCACCCATAAATGAAAGTTCTGTCATCATTTACTAATACCTAATGACATTCCAAAATGTTTTCATATGATTTACACTCTTTCAAAAGTTTGGGGTCGGAAAGACTTTTTAATGTTTTTGAGAGAAACCTCTCATTTATTTGATCAAAAATAAAAAACAATAATACTGTATAATATTATTTAAAAAAATTCTTTTTAAAAATTTAATTCATTCTTGTGAAGCAAAGCTGAATTTTCAGCATCATTCCTCCAGTCTTCAGTATCACATTATCCTTCAGAAATCATTCTAACATGCTGATTTGCTGCTCAAGAAACATTTTTTATTCAGGGTATGTGCAGGATTTTTAAGCTCAAATTTAAGACTTTTTAAGACCTGCACAAATAAAATTAATACCATATTAATTTAAACAATTATTATCTATCAAATGACACAAACAGTACACAAAGCAGCGCAGCGCCTGACTTTGAAACGTGCAGCGCTCGTGTTTATTTAATGAAATCATAGCCTTTTGAAGTTCAATCGTCACATTCATCCATATCGCAATTCTTGTCGTTCCGTCCCCAAATTTAAGACCTCTTAACATCATAATTAAGACTTTCTTGTACCATTTAAGACTTTTTATGGCCTTAAATGTAATTCAACAAATTTTTAAGACTTTTTAAGACTTTTAAAGGACCCGTAGAAACTCTGTTATTATTAATTATTAAACAGTTGTGCTGTATAAAAAAAATTAAATAAACAAATTAAATAAAAACAAACACACTTTTTTCAAAATATCTTCTTTCCCAAAATGTCTTCTGTGTAGAAAGTAACATGCTGGTTTGGATGAACATGAAGGCGAGTACTGATGACAGTATTTAGTTTTTTTGGGTGAACTATCACTTTAAGTTGTCACCTGTTTGTGATACTTCATAGTGCCAGGGTTTTCAACCAAGGGTCCCTGTAAAGTACTGCAGGGGGGGTCATGTGTTTATTTGTAAATAATGATAATGATTATAATGCAGTGATGTTAGTTAATGTTCTTGATGAAAGTTACTAGAAATTGTTACTGAGAAAATTCAGATAGTTAAACTGGTGACCCTGGGGTTTGCTGAGAGGTTCCTGAGTGTGTGAAAGTTGAAAACCCCTGCCATCCTCCCATTTTAGAGTACATGGCATCTACATTGCATGTCTGTCAAGCTTGGCAAGCATCGCAACTCCCCAGAATTCAAAATGCTTAGCATATGTTCATGTTAAACTGCAGTGAAAATCTTTCTGGAGTGCCTCAAAGCTGTAAAGTGATTTGTTAACGGACAGTTATCAAATTACAGCCTAATTACAAGAGATAAAAACACTGTTAGGTTTTGTCTTGAACTAAAATCTGACCAAATAATACATCCTTCAGTCAAAATCGCTCAAACAGCTTTCAGACCTCGAGACTCTGAGCAAATCAAGCCATTAGTGTTAAATTCTCTAATTCTGCATTAGCCTCTGTTTATGCAGGTATATTTCTATCCTTTTGTCTCTTATCTTAGTGTGCTCCTTGCCTTTGGTTGTTATTCAGTATCCACAACGGGGTGAGTTTGCTGTGACTGGAGGCCCACCTGCTGGGCAGGGGAGACAACGTCTGAGGCTGTTCACTTATCACTGTGTTTTCGGACAGGGCAGAGGCCGGGCGGGAGTCCACCAGGGCCTCCTCCAGCATAAAGCTCCCACTGGGTACTCTAGGAGGAAGCTCAATGCTCACTGTGGTCTCGTCCAGATGGGGCGGCATGGGGGTGCTTCTGGGAGTGGACATGGTCGGTGTGGGAGGAGCATCACTGAAGACGCTGTCACTCTGCCGTCAAGGGAAACATAATTAAAGACAAATGTAACCTGGTTACACTTTAATTACAATTGTGATTTTTACAGTAAAATTATACAATTAAGTACTATATAATACTAACTAACACCATGTACTTACTATAGGGTTAGGACAACGGTTTAGTTTAGGGTTAGTTGCATGTAATTATGCACAATTTACTGTTAATACAGTGTAAGTAAGTGCACTACTTGTCAAAAGTTTGGAATAAGATGTCTTCTCACCAAGGCTACATTTATTTGGTCAAAAATAAGTAAAAACAGTAATACTGTGAAATATTATTACAATTTAAATTAGTTTCCATTTTACTGTATTTTAAAATATAATTTATTCCTTGAAGCTGAATTTCAGCATCATTACTTCAGTTTTCAGTGTCACGTGATCATTCAGAAATCATTATAAGATGCTGATTTGGTGCTCAAGAAACATTTCTTATTATTATCAACATTTAAAACCATTTTTGCTGCTTAATATTACTCAATTTAATATTAATATTAAATTGATCAAAAGTGACAGTAAATACACTTATAATGTTTAAAATATTCTATTTCAAATAAATACTGTTCATTTGAACTTTCTATTCATCAGAGAATCCTAAAAACAGCAAAAACGGTTTTGATTTCTTGAGCAGCAAATCATTTTATTGGAATGATTTCTGAAGGATCATGTGACACTGAAGACTGGAGTAACTGGAGCCCACTGCTCCGGGTGTGTGTTCACAGTGTGTGTGTTCACTGCTGTGTGTGTGCACTTTGGATGGGATAAATGCAGAGCACTAATTCAGAGTATGGGTCACCATACTTGGCCACATGTCACGTCGTCGTTTTTAATGATACTGAAAATTTAGCTTCGCTTCATAGGAATAAATGAATATATATTCCAATGAATATATTTTTTATATTCCTTTATTTATATTCCTAAATTAACATTTATTCCTATTAATATACTGGTTACACTTTACTTGAAGGGGTGTGCATAAGACTGACATGACACCTTCATAATCATGACATGACACATGTCATGAATATGAAGGTTTTTTATGCATGTTTATGACAACTGTCATTAAGTGTCATTCGCTCAGTTATGTAATTTTTAATGCAAAGATGACATTGTCTGAGATGTCTGTTATGGGCTATGGTTAGGGGTAGGGTTAGGTCAAATAATGTCATCTTTGCATTAAAAATTACATAACTGAGCGAATGACACTTAATGACAGTTGTCATAAACATGCATAAAACCTCCTTCAAATTCATGACATCTGTCATGTCATGATTATGAAGGTGTCATGTCAGTCTTATGCACACCACTTCAAGTAAAGTGTTACCAATATATTTTTAATATATATTTAATTAGAAAACAACTGTAAATTGTAATAATATTTCACAATATTACTGTATTTTTGCTCAAATAAATACAGTATTGGTGTGCATGAAATACTTCTTTCAAAAACTTTTGGCCCATAGTGTACATGTAACAAGGGCACTAAAATAAAATGATATGCTTTTTTACATTTAATATACACAATATAAATAAGTTACAATATAAGTTGTTTTTTTTTATAGCATTAAGCATTCTGTTGGTTATCGTAAAGCACACTGCTTGTTCTGTTCCCACTGGATTTCAATGTTAGATGCTGTGTGCTCTCACCCTGAAGAACTCCTCTTCTTCCATCATCTCCCCCTCCAGCCCTTCCTCATCCTCCATCGCAATAGCCAGACGCATCTCTGGGGCCAGATCCTGTAGTGTGCGTAACCCGGCCTGGACCACACAAGATGAGAGTTAAAGATGTGTTGTGTGTTTTTGTACAGTATCATATTTGACACATTAGACTTTAATGGCTCATATAGTATGATATAGAGAATATGGAGCTCATACTTGAGGAGGAAAAAACATGAAACTCTGTGCAGTTGCTGATATTTGCATTGCCAAAAAAGATAGAGAGATTTTTATAACAGCCTAAAAGACTACTTGCATAAAATACATATTACTGGTTGTCACTCTATATCTCCCAATAATGTCTTAGTAAAATGATTATTTAAATATCTAGATTTACACATTGTCGTAAGATGCCCAGCTTGAGTTATATTAAAGAAAGAAAATGTGCACTTTAAATAAGAAATAACAATCTTAATGCTGCCCAGTTCAGCTTTTTATGTCATAATTATTTCACTCTTAACTGATATTTTCTTGCTCAAATATATTGTTTCTGATCTAAAACAATAATCATTCTAATACATGTAAAAATGGTCATTTGAAAAGCAAGATAACACACAAAGACAACTGTCATAATTCTTTACCTGGAGAGAGGCTGACTTGTCCTTGCCTTTCTTCTTCCTCTCTTTCTCCTTCCGTTTGCGAAACTTTTTAAAGTAGTCCTGAATCAGGAAGCTGGCATAAAACTTTCCTGCAGTCACCTCATTCCCTAAAATGCAGAGAGATACATTTGAAAAAAAGACAAAAAAAAAAGGAAGGAGTAAAGTTGTACATGTCATTGGTAGTCCATATCAAGCACATAAAGCCTATGATAAGATCTCATAACATACTGTACCTGAAGGGGGAGGTATAACGTCCTCTAGAAGTTTGGGTTTGGTGTGTTTCCAGATCTTTTTAATGATAGCTCTCAGCTCCTCGTTCTGCTGGTCAATGGGGCCTGTGTTGAATGGAAAGGTACTGTATTACTGTATTTAGAATAGATAAATGCTTCATTTTTTGCTGTAGTGTGTGACAAAAAGCAAACAACAGAGTGGTTATACAGTAGTTCAGAGGGATAGTTCACCCAAAAATGAAAATTCTGTCATTAATTACTCACCCTCATGTCGTTTGAAACCCGTAAGACCTTCGTTCATCTTCGGAACACAACTTAAGATATTTTTGATGAAATCCGAGAGCTTTCTGACCCTGCATAGACAGCAAGGGTACTACCACGGTCAAGGCACATAAACGTAGTAAGGACATTGTTAAAATAGTCCATGAGACATCAGTGGTTCAACCATAATTTTACAAAGCTACGAGAATAATTTTTGTGTGCAAAGAAAACAAAAATAACACATTTATTCAACAATTCTTCTTCTCCTCTTCACCCTAGCACCATTTTGGAGAGTATCACGACGCATGCTCTCCAAAATGGCGCTAGGGTGAAGCGGATGAGAACAATTGTTGAATAAAGTCATTATTTTTATTTTCTTTGTGCACAAAAAGTATTCTTGTAGCTTTGTAAAATTACGGTAGAAGCTCTCAGATTTCATCAAAAATATCTTAATTTGTGTTTCGAAGATGAACGAAGGTCTTACGGGTTTGGAACGACATGAGGGTGAGTAATTAATGACAGAATTTTCATTTTTGGGTGAACTATTCCTTTAACAGTGCATATGTCAGTGTGCGTGTATAGAAGTTTAACCGTCTGTTTTAATCTTGAGTGACGTTCTGACGAGTGCAAACAGAGTGGCGTTAAAGGACACGGTGCCATCAGGATGGAGAGGAACATTCATAGCAACCAGTCTCTGCCAATGAGAAAGAGAGAAACAAAGGTGTAGTAATTAATGGTTGTAAGGACACTGCTATGTGAAGCATGTTGAAATGAAGCTGTTAGTGTGTTCTGGAAGGTCTTTATGATATAGTGATACTTTTATTAATACTTTTATCCAGCAAGAACATTAAATTGATCGGAAGTGACAGTAAAGACATTTATAATGTTACAAAAGCTTATTTCAGATAAATGCTATTCAAACATGTTTGAACAGTAGTGTATGGCTCGGGCTCTTCTTAAATGTTAGTGTACAGTTTTTTCACCTATTTCATTGTCAGCCAGTGACTGTACAAATCCAAATCACGCTTACCCTACAGGCTACTCGATGTGGACAGAGTTTCCCAAAGCCCAGCGGAGGCTGAATTCTGCGCAACATGGTGACTACATCTAGATGTTTAATCCTTCCCCTGATGCAAAAACATTCAGTAGTATTTATATTATTTAGCATTTAGTTATGCTCTCATAAAAACAGACACAGAGCATATTGCTTGTGCATGTGTGATGATGTCACTTACGTGGCCTCTGGGTCGTAATCTGACCAGACTCGTTTAAACTCATCGAGGTGATGAGTGCCCAGCACAGTCCAGTCTCTGGTCAGATACTCAAAGTTATCCATGATGACTGCGATGAACAAGTTAATGATCTGAGAAAACACAGATTGGATCAATTCATCACTGAACAAAATTGTTCATTATTTTCAGAGATGGAAAATGCATAAGTTTTGTGAGTGCAACACAATGTTTCTCTGGGCACTGCAAAACTTTTGTGAGAAAAAGTTTTTCATCTCTTACCAGGAAGGCACAGAGTGCAAAGAAACTGATGAAATAGAGGTATGCCAGGTTGCTTCCGCAGCTATACTCCTCTCCCGGCTCAAAGTCAGACTCTGGGTCACATCGGTGTCCTGGCAGTGCCGCAAGCATGATCTGCTGCCACTGTTCACCTGTTGCACACCTGGGTTTGAAGAAGAACAAAAAAGCATGCAATATACCTTTACTTCAAACCATTTCCTAACCAGACAAAAGCAGATCATTATCCAACCTCAATTCAAAAATCAACCAGAAGGCTGGTGCTGGTGTACGCTCACCTGAAGAGCAGCAGTACAGCCATGAAAAAGGTTTGGAAATTGTTGTTCCGACTGAGCTCTGTGTTGTCATCTATAGCTATCTTCCCAAATGTCTGGAAAAAAAACAGAAAAGAGAGTTTAAACTTCCCAATCGGGAATGTTCCTCATGTGAGGAGAGAATGAACATAGACAGATGTATAAAAATGAACTCACCTGCATCCCAATCACGCCATAGATGAAAAAGATCATGGCAATTAGCAGGCCGACGTATGGCAATGCCTAAAGGTAAGCAGAGAGACAGGAAGAAGCAATGCATAATGCATATACATGTATATATATATATATATATATATATATAT